ATTATAAAGTATAAAAAAATCCTGAATCCAATTTTATCCAAACAAAACTCAAACCGATTAAAATTTAAATGTAAATCTTCTTATTTATATTAATAATAATAATTACTAACAAGTATATTGCCCGTTTATTTATATTCTACGTATAATAATCAAGCGAGGATATAACCAATTAAATGGATAAGATTCATCCGATTTTCAAGCAAAGATAAACTCTTATGACGAATAATAAATCATTTAACTTTCCATACTCACTGTATATATAATCTCAAGTCTGCATCATCAGGTGAGTATGTTTGTAACACAGTGAAAAGGAGAGAATCTGTTTGCGTTGCTCTTATAAACATCCATGGCTGAAACAGCGAGAATGATAGCAACAGCGATGCTGGTGATGATGGTAGTGGCAACTTCAATGTATTTGGCTCACACTTATTCTGAATCTGATGCTGGCTTCGTCCTCAATACCATCTCTTCCCACAACATCGTCATCTTCTCCAAATCCTATTGCCCGTATGCGTTCTCTCTGTCCAACTCACACTAATTCGGTGCATGGATTTAGTGCACGCTTGGGTTAGCAGTTGCAAAACTTAATTTATAATAATAGTCTGTTATTATAACGTGATTTATGTTAGATACGTATAAAAACTTCAATTCCTACGTTCAATTGAATTGGTTGGATGAATCTCTTTAATAGGTTTTAGGTTTATAATTAATTTGCATGAGTTTTGACATTTTAGGTCTTTAACATAAGCAATTGAAGGTTGAACTCAAGATTTCTAATTAAAATCCTAATGTTTAGTTCTTTAAATATTAGATGTCATTACTGTTTACATCGTCCACGTTTTGGTGTGCCTTGGCTTGACAAACATGGTTTCATGGGCTTCTCATTGTAATATCAAACTCACCCTTAATTAGCAAAATATCATCTCGTAGCTAGCAAAATCTATAGAAATTTCTTTTTAAAATTTTAATTAGATAATTGCTATTACGTCTTGTTATTTGTTATAGAATAAAGTACATTGTTTCACTTGTACCTTCACTCAAACTTTCACATTTTGGGCATGTTAAATAGTGCAGATGATATAATGATAGATAAGTAATTATCATTCAGACTTAGTCATGATAATGATTTGGATAATAAAGATTCATTTTGTAGGTTGAGATCCTATAAATTGATCTTTTTGCCATGCTTGATATAGAATATGAGATCCATGATGAAAGTTGGACACCATAAATCAAAACAAAAAAGTTGCAAAAGCAACTAACTAGTAAAACTTTGTAAACAAATCATTAAACAGACAGCATATGCATATACTATACATACAAAAGAATATTTCAATTTAAACATATTGGAATGCCAATTGTCTTATTGCTTTACATCCACGCACAAAACAGTTTTTGCTCCTTATTAGGTATTTCTAATTTGTTGATGGTAAATTCAGGTATTGCAGGAGAGCAAAAGCTGTTTTCAAACAGTTGAAGCAAACACCATATATTGTTGAGCTTGATGAAAGAGGTATTCAGTATTCACACACGCACACACACATGTTAATAACTTTAACTTGCTCTTGATTCGTTTTAACATGGTACTAAAACATATTACTAACATTTAATATATTTGCACAAAATCCAAGAAATGAGTTGCGTTATTCATAAGTTGCGAATAGTATTTCCTTTATTCTTTTTTATAAAGCATTGTTTAGAAAACTTCTCCTTTTTATCTATAGGGCACTTTGCAGAATCAAAGGAATAATTAATATTTTTTTAAAAAAATTTCCATTGGAATGTTGGAGTATTAACAAATTTATGGATTTGGGGGGGGGGGAGATTAAGAGAGAGATGAATGTTTAATTGATGTTTTTTTTAAAAGATGATGAAATTATTTTAAGGACATAAACTAATTTTCTAGATATATGCAAAATAGTTAAATACTCCCTGGAGAACTCAAATTCAAGGCACTTGCTAAGATGTTTTGATGGTAATCCAAAAATATAACTAACTTTTTGGGTCATTAAATTGATATTTCAAGGAAGTGACCCACATTAAGATTATAACATAAAAAAATTAAGAATGGGTTTTTAATTATCATTCTCTGGCTTGGTATACACTTTTATGTCATGCAGATGATGGATGGAAAATTCAAAGCAAACTGGGCAAAATTGTTGGGAGCCATGCCGTGCCACAGGTATTCATCAATGGAAGGCATATTGGAGGTTCTGATGGTAATACTCTCTTCTTTAACTTGATCTGATAAACAAATTATGAAATATATTCCATGGAAGTAAGTGATAGGAGAGCATGAGAGAAATAAGAGAGTTACACGTAAATGAAGTTCATATTTCTCTTCTTTTCAATGGCATTGCATATATTAGATAATATGTTCCACTTTACTCTCAACAAAATCTATTTGGTACACTTAGAAAAAAGAACTATAAAACTTTGTACAGCTTCTATTATACCCTTTCATGTTCTATTTATAAGATAAAAAAATAAATTTTTTAATCTTATTTATAAAGCATGTCAATGATTTTTTTTATCAAAAGTTTTCCTTTTTATTACTTCCATTAAACATTGAAGAGAAAAATGTGCTATTAAAATATGCATATTTCATATAAAAAGTTAAAAATATATTTAAAAGTGTCTTATGAATATGACAAGAAGGGAGTACCTATTTGTTAATTATTACTCCCTCCCTTTCTTTCTATGAAGACTTATATATATATATATATATATATTTATTTATTTATCAGGCTTAAAATTATTTTATATTTACCTGTATTAAAGAATTTGGTTTAAACCAATTAAACCTGTAAAAATTTCACAGTAAATAATATTTTTTAAAAATAATAATTTAAGCAAAAAGTCTTATACTAAAAAGTAATGGTATAATAGTCTATATTCATGTACAAAATCCCTCCTCCTTCTTTCTTTTTGGCAAATTTCATTTGTTTTTATATTCCGTTCTTTTTTTTTTTTCCAGAAACTATTGTGCCTATGGGACTGGACAATTGGCTAGGCTTCTGGGAATTGAGCCCATTGATCGTTCATGTCGATCATGATCTTTGAATTAATTGGATCATTATTAATTTATCACGATACCAACTTATGTACCGTATTATTTTAGTGCTAGATTATTAGATTAAATTTTGATGTTGCCATTAATTTTTTTTTTTCCATTATTCCTTCTTCTGTTATCACAGGAATGCTCCACTCTTTCTTGCAAAAATGTTGCACCATCTGTTAAAAAATTTAAGAAGAATCACATTTAAGAACCAATAAAAAAAAATAAAAGCAGATAAGAATTAACAAGTTCCATTAACCAAAAAAATAAGTTCACTTTCCCATTTTATCAACAGTGCATTTTATATTAGTCATTATTTGTGAATAATTTACTTAAGTGGTCCTTGAACGTGATTCTCTAAAAATTTAAAACATTTTTTTCAGGTTTGATATTAAAAAATATAAAATATTTTTAGCTTCTCAAGGTATAATTAATGATTTTTTTTCAAAAATACCCTTAACAATTAAATCAATTGACCTTTCACAAAAATAAGGATAATAATTTAAACACAATTAACTAACTTATTAAAAACTGTATAATTCAATTAAATGTACTTATACTTTTGAAAGGAGAAGTATTATGTTTTGTATCATCCCAAAAAAAAAATATTTTTGCTGCATCATAATGTTGTGAAAGTTATAATGGTTTTGACGTGGAGATAAAAGGAGCTATTACACGCAAATGTAAAATTCAATTATTGGACTTGAGAAAAATCACCAAAATAATATATTAAATGGATGAACTCATTACCAATCACAAGTTTGCATTACCTTGCTTGACCTGCCTAATTATGTGGTTTGGATAGCCAGGTCTCTTGTTTTAAAATAAAAAATATATAAAATTTATGAAGGACAATTGACTACAAGGGTATCAAAAGAAAAATAATAATTAACTACTATTATATAACATCATGAACCTATGTAGTATATCATTAAAATTATATTTTAACTAAATACAAATTAAAATTGATTAATGATTAATTTTAAGAAATGTTGAGTGACAATTTGACCTCTAAACTATAGGTCCAAGTCTTTGAGATCATAAACTCATTTTTGGTGTAATATTTTTTTAAATTTTAAAAAATGGTATAATATTGTCTCTATTGTTAATAAAAGTAAATTTTAAATATTAGTTAACTGCAAAGTAAAAGAAAAAGACCTAAAAATTATCAGAAAGAACAAAAAAATTCTAGGTTATTTTTTGAGTCATTGTTTATAATTTTTAGGTTTTTTTCTTTTTTTTTGTAATTTTCTATATTTTTGGTTTGTTTTATAATTTTTGCTGAGGTCCTTTAAGCTTTTTAAGAATAATAAAACTTTTGACATTTTAAATTTGTGAACTTATTTATTTGGTTTCTAAGATTGATTTTTACCCATTAACTATTCACTTTATTAGCTCATGACTCAAGTTTTTCAATTTTGGTTCTTATCATTCAAAAATAGTTTGTCAAAGAACTTTTTAGGTATACATTTTGCATATCATAATGTTTGCACACAAATAAAAAATAAAATAATTAATGATTTATTTTTTACAACCTTAGGAAGTCCTTTTCTTTTTTCTTCTTAATTTTTCTCCTTTTCAACTCATCCAACATGTTTCTTTAATATGATTCAAATATTGTTAACGTAACAAAATGTATGTTCTAATATAATTTTCATGTTATTTTTTTCAATATAATACCCACGCCTTAAATATTCTTTGATGAATAAATGGAAAAAATAATAAAAATCTATCTTCAATATAATATTGTATTTTTTTCATCAAAGGTCAAATTTATTCATTAAAACGGCAACGACATAGTTGGGCCTTTTATGAATATATACCGATGACTTCGATCAACCTGGGTTATGGGGCCAGAGAAATATGGGCTTAGTTGGGCCTCAATTCCAATCTAAGGCCCATTCTCCGCGATCGTCACCAATCTGCAAATTTGTCGTCCGCATCAGAGTTGAGCCGTGACATCTGCGAGAACAATGGAGAAGCATGAAGCTGCAGAAACACGAAGTAAAAGGAAAAGGAAATCAAAGTCTTCCTCAACCAGCCTTCAACTTCAATGTGATGACGCCAATACCATCTTCGCTTTATTGCTCGCATCCCTCTCTCAGCCTCGCGAACTCGACACTCTTTCCCTCATCAGGAAATGCACAAGCAAAATTCTCACTTCGCTGCTCTCCGAAATCCATTTCAGACCCATTCTTGCATTGCTTCCAACACTTCTCAACTCCGAGTAAGCTACGTATTCCTCTCTGTTGAATTTGTGCTTTGGTGGTTTGAAATAACTGCGCCAGACTGGGTTGACTCGTTCTTTCTTTCTTTCTTTCATTCTTTTTTTTTTTTGCTTGTTTGGGTCTTTACTTTTTGGTTTGCACTTTGCAGATGTCCTGGAATTGCGTGCTGTGGCGCAGAAATTGTGGGCGCTGCTTCGCTTGCTTCTTTTGTTGTGAACAATGAAATTGCTTCTGATTGTGAAACTTTGAAGGGTTTAATCTCACTGTTGACGAGTTCGAAGAGAAAGGTTATGTCATCTGCCTGCAATGCTGTCTTGGACTTGTCTACTACCACTTTTGGGCAACAGCAGCTGCTGAAATTTTCTGCCTTGGAAAAACTAATGTAAGCGTTAACAATTATGACATTTTTTTAATGGTTATTTTCCTTCGTTCAAATACGTGACACTGGGCCACTGGCTGTGGTTTAGCTTCAATTAGCAATCAGCCCTTCGCCGGGTTTTCTGTTTGTGTGGTTGTTGGGGACTGGAAGGGGACTTAATATTTTAAAATCTGTGTACAGATGCATAGTTAATTTTTTAATATCTGTGTACAAATGCATAGACTTGCTAATCTGGCAATTTGTGTACTGCAGGCCTGAAGTTCCGTGGCATTTTTTTTTTAATCAAATTGAATGAATAACCCTGTCTGTTATTTCAGCTGATTTCTGATTACACATTTCAATCGCATGAATTTGATTTGTTTTTGAATGATCAAATTACTTGAATCTTTTTCTTGAAATGTGATCCAAAAACTAATTTTTGTATGCTCTTATATACTTTATACTTGAAACACAATTAGCCATGTGCTATGAGAGAACCTTTGTTCCTTTCATTTGAATAATTTTGTAAATTTTCCATCATGGTTATGTCAGAAAAAACATGTGAGGCACAAACAATTTCCATTCCGGATGGCTGCAACATTTTTTTTTTTTTGGGTCAAATGTTGAAGTATTAAAGGCATTTATTTAAATAACTAAACAAGTGGCGCTCTTTAGGTGCACATTTATTCAGATTCCAATTCTTTCAAATTCTGTTTCTTTGTGGTCTGAGGGCAATGGAAGTCTCCACTGTCTCAAGATAGGGATGGGAGAACATCATGAACATTTGATGGCATTTCTTAGTGCGACTATTATTCTCATTAATTCATGCGATGCTGAGCAGCTACAGAATATCCCTGCGAGCGTTTCTGAAGCATTCTTAACCCTTCTGAAAGAGCTCTGGGCAAAAGTAAGTCATCAAATGGCTGTCAAAGGTGCTATAGAAGTTAATGAAGATGGACATTATTGTAAGAGCAATATTGGAGTTAATAACCTTGCAGAAGCTATATTTAGGATTTCCATTAATTCTTGCTTATTGACTACGGCTTTACCATTTGAAGTGCTTAAAGGAAGTCTATTTGGTACAACGGATTCTAGTTTTGAAGATTTTATTTTGAACCACTGGGAATTCTCACCCTTTCTTCTGAAAAAGGCATCAAACAATCTAAATGTGAATGATATTCTTAGTCCATTTATCCAATCTCTTGGCTGTACAGGGAATGTTCCTTCTCTTCTGTCATCAATTCTTCAGGGTCTAGTATCTTGTTTTCCAATTGCCTCAGATGAACATGATGTCCTCAATTTTTTGAGTGAGGTGAATGATAAATTGGGTTTTCCTATAGCTTACCATCAGGATATTCGAGTTGTAAAGACAGAGAGGCACTCAAGAAAAGAGATGCATTACTTTCAGCACTTTAATTCAGGCTGCACTAGAGAACCTCACTATTTCACTAAAGATGACGTCTTGAAGTGTGGACAAGCATATAAAGAAGGATATACAGTTGCACTGCGTGGTTTAGAGTTTCGCTATCGAAGCATTGCTGCTATTACTGATAAATTAGCAGTTATGTTTGGTCAACCATCTGCAGGTGCCAATTTGTACTTGACACCACCTAATTCTCAGGGTTTGGCATGTCACTTCGATGATCACTGTGTGTTTGTATGCCAGATTTTTGGCTCCAAGCAGTGGACAGTATTTTCTCAACCTAGTCAGCTGTTACCTCGTTTGTATGATGATCTACGTGGTTATGATGTTAACTGTACAATGGCTGGTAAAAAGGAGTTCTTGCTCAGGGAGGGTGATGTGTTATATATTCCCAGAGGTTTTCCTCATGAAGCATATACTAAATCCGGCCCTGATGACGTTTCTTCTGGGTTTTCATTACACCTTACCCTTAGTGTTGAGGTTGAACCACCATTTGAGTAAGTATAGTTTAACATGAAGGTTCCCATTAATCTCTTATTGTCAAGGAGTTGTAAAACTTGTCATGGGCTCATGGCCCTTTATTTGATTTCATTTTCCTCCTTTGTTCTCCTCTTTTCTTGTTTTTTTTTTTAAGGGTGAAGATTGTGATTTTTACGGTGTTCATTCTTCTTTTGATGCAATGATTGATTGAATGGTGTCCTGTGTTGTGTGGTAAACTCAATTTTGGGTGAGCTTTCTCTCCCATGTTCCTGTAGGAATGTACATAATTTTATACCACCTTTACACCATCATCTCTTTTCTCTTAATCTCTCATGCAATATTTGCATTCACAAGCTGAGGATCTAGGTTGGCGAGGGATTATGATTTCACATTTACTTCTTGAAAATATGTCCAATATCATTTTCTGTCTACCTTTTCCCCTATGGTAAATTGTAAATTTTGTTCCAACGAAATAATAATCTTCACAATCATGCCGATCCTCTACTGTTGGCAAGCATGCTTGATCCTAATATTCCCCAATCAAATCAGTACTGTCATGTTAATGGTGATGTCCTTTTCCCCATTCCGCCAAAGCAAGTCCAGCTTTGACTAATTAAAATAAGCAGTATGCTTCTTTGGTCCGTCAAGAAGAACCATAAGAAGTTTGAATGGTTGATGATCACGTGGTGTAGCTCACTGATTGAACCACTAATACTGCCACAGAGTTTGGTTTGTTGTAACATCATAAATTTTTGTAGGACATCATCATCTTTTCACCTCTAAAAGCTTAGTAAAATACTGATATTCTATAAGTGCCTTGGACTAATTCTCAGTATTTCATGATTTCAAGGAATGCAAACCAATAATTTGAATGTTTATTTGTCTATGAACTCTCCTGTCATGCAAGCATAATTTTTTTCCCCTTTACTCTTTCTATAACTCATGTTTGTGATGTATTCCCTTCGTCCCTAATTATAAGCAAATCTTGACTGTTTCACAATTCCTAATAAAGTTAGTTAATCTTCATAATTATGTGTCATATTTTTTTTTTTGACTTAAATGCCCATGTTATTATGTTCAACTTTGTTCTTATCTTAATGATGGTCATTTAATGAGGGGCAAATTTGGAAACATCTCTTAATTGCATCTGAAATTGGGTGGTTTTTGCTTAAAGACCAAGAGACCATGCTTAAAATTTGCTTATAATTCGGGATGGAGGAAGTATAGTGTAGTGCTCTTTGTTGACCAGAAAAGATAATAAAATAAAGTATAATATAATGATTGATGGTTTTCTTGAAGCAGGGAACTGAAACAATGCATGTGAGCTGACCCACACTAAATCAATCATTAAATTTAGACATTAGTGTCCACAAGAAGATGGGACACGCACTCAGACTTTGTGTCTCTGGAAAGCTGATTCATGGACCAGCATTTATGCTATCATTTTGAAAATGATGCCTATGTCAATTATAATCCATCTTATGAGGAAGAGTACTAAATTATCAATCTTTGATTGTGCTATCAATTGAAGAAGCGGGAAGATTTGAACTCCAGAAAGAGTGTTTTGTCACATAAAAAGTGGGTTTTATTATGCTCGGTTAATGTGGGTCATGTTATAGTTCGTTTATATATATATATTTATATATTTATTTATTTATTTTTATTTGGAAAGGCTATCTAATCATTAACTCTCCCTGTCACTTGATGAATGATCTATTTTATTCTTTTTTTTTTTTTTTTCCTTTTGGATCTGTGGGATGACTTGGTCACAAGTTATTTGGACTTGGCTTTGGTCCTTGATATCTGAAACACATGTTTTCTTTTGTAACAGTTTTTTGCATTTTCTCCTCTTTCTCCATTTTTTGATTTTGCTTCCAATGGAGTTCATGAGAGAGAGAGAGAGAGAGAGAGAGAATTGAAGAGTTTGAGCACTCTAATGGCTTGGCATATATACTGATATTTTGTGCTAGCAGAGCAACTGTTATCCCTGTAAATGAAAGATTCAAAGATAGTGCTTGCAGTTCAAAATATGGAAGTCATTTTTTAATATTTTTTACACCTGCAATGACTAAAATATCTTTTGGCATCACTAATAATTTATGTATTCTGTCCAGCAGATGGGAAGGAGTTGCTCATTTTGCACTTCATTGCTGGAGTGAAAACCAGGAGAGACCTTATTATGGTGGCTCTATACCTTGGTCTCAAAAGCTTGATCTGGTTTCTGTGAGTTTATTACACTTTGCCATCAAGATCATTGGCAATTCTGATCCTACCTTTCGGAAGGCGTGCTTCGCTGCAGAAGATTCTTTGCCACCACATGTTTGTAATTGGCTTGCTCATAATCAGAAAAACATTTTTTGCCATGTAATTGATAAAATTCATACTGAATCTAGGTTCTTGGAAGTGCTGAGCAGCTTAGAGGTTGCAATTAAGAAAAATGAAGATCCTTTTCAACGAATCAGATGGCTTTGGTTTCTCCATCCAAAAAGAGAGTCTTCCAGAAGATATGATGTAAATCAATCTTCTGTGTTTGAAGACTTGCTGTCTTTATGTGCTCAGTACCAGGATGAAGTAGAAGCTGCTTTTCTAGGAGTCAAGTCCAGGTTTTGTAGTGATGTAGTATATGAGAATATAATAGCTGGTTATGTGATGTTGCTTCAGAAATATAGGAAGGCTAGAAAGCAATATAGCAATGGAATGATTTCACTACATGATAAATGCTAAAGTAAATTACAAAGACCTCCTTCAGTTTTGTTGAAATTATAGACTTCATATATTCCAAGTTTAAAAATTTTCCCTAATATATCATTCATTAGCCTAAACATACAAATGTGCGTGTGTGCGTGTGTGTGAATATGCACAAATAGAAACAAGAGTCCTTTTTGTTTTTGTATATTAAATTAAAAAAAACTAGATGATTCAGGTTAACAGAGGGTATTTTAGTTTAAAAAAAAATAAATTTAAAAGTGGATTAAGATATAATATAACTTCAAGTTTTAGGAGACGTATGTATGTTTTGAAATTGTGAGGAGATATACGTAATTTCAGGAAAATTTATGGGATTTTGTGTAATTTATTCAATTCTAACGTTTTTAAGTTCTTCAATTTCTACTGGTTGAGCCAGAAAATGTCATATCTTAGTTGCCTGGTGAAATATGTCTGACATTCATAGTTGCTTGGTCAGCCAACTCGTCCACTTTGATTGTTCTGTAAGCTAAGGGCTACAAGGTATTCTATATATCGCTTTGTTGTGCAAATGGGATAAGCCATGGAACAAAACTTTCTTTTCTACCCCACGAAATACATTGCATTCATATGTAGATTAAAATTATCATAGAAGTGATAGACGATTGCGTAAATCTCTTTCCCATGAAAATTAAAGCTGCAACCTATGGTCTGGGATGTTTAGGAGTTGGATGAGTTGTTACTCCATGGTAATCTATGTGGTAGACTAGATCATGAGGATTGCTACTGTTGCTTGTATACTGTAGTGCCATGGGATCATCCTCAGCAGAGGAACTTTCCATTGCCTCATCTGCCACCTGCATTTAATGCCCCCCAAATTAAAGGAATTAGTGGAGAGATCATAATCTAAACGGTAGGAAACAGCAGAGGCGGTGCTCAGACAGGTATGAGTAGCAGCTTAGGGGAAAGGGAACAAACGAAGAATTGGAATATGCCTTCTAGAATGTTTTGTATCATTCTATCATAGTTCTGATCTTATCTTGCCGCTACTGACTCTGTTTGGTGGACTATGATCTGATCACAAAAGGACACTTATGATCTTACCTTTCCTTGACAGATTTATGGTTGTAGCAAATGGTGAAGAAAGGAAATAAGTATTGGATCATGCGTTCTAAGAATATGCCGCATCATACTTAGTCTGATCTTGCCTTGCAATTGACTCTATTCTGTAGGATGATTAACTGGGGAAAATATGTACCTTGATTTTGTGATCTTCATGCTGGACGAGAGGGATTGACATGCTCAACTTTCGCCCTGGTTTTGGCATGACATCTAGAGAGGGGCCTGTGTGATGGAAGGTGAAATATAGAGCCACTGTGACGAGACAACACAGGAAGAAGTTGGAAGAGTTCATCATATTGTCAATCTGGAGGTTTGATACCCTTAAAATCCGAAGTTGTTTGATCACTTCAGCTGTATATATAGAAAATCACAGGAGCTCCTGTCAGAAACAAGTGATTGGGGGGGGGGGGAGAGCGATAGCAATTATTGATTAAGGAACTGGGGAAACATGTTTCAACCTACATGCCCTCGGTTCTGCTGCATATGTGGGACTAACCTCTACCCCCTCCCTTTCTCTCACTAATAGTTAATAGTGAAAGGTAGATTCTTTTTTATGTTACAGGAGCAGGTAAACTAGAAATTTTTGGATCACGTGTATGTCTCATGCCAAACAAAACCAGTCATCATCAACCCATGTTTTGTCTTGGACAATAAGGACCAGGTTCTGATCCCTCATCCTCTGGCTGCTATTGCTGCGATCTCATACCCTCTCTAGGTATGTTATAGTCATTTGAGGACACTTCTTGATGGCTAATATTAAATCAAGGGTCATACCTTGGAATCTTTTATCCTTTTAACTATGCCACACATCTCCTTGTACCTTAGTTTTATTGCTGCTCTTCATTCTGTAGAAAATCATGCTAGTATTTGGCATCCAAAGAAACCTGTTCTTCAGCTGCTTTCTTTATCCCAAATGTTTTAGGTGTCAATTGAATTCATTCTAGTTTTATTATGATGTCTGGTATATCTACTCCCACAAAAGCGATGGTCTACTATGTGAAGTTTAATACTTTTCATTCTAGCTCGAAGTTTTGAAAGATATTTTATTATCATCCATTAAAGTTAATGTGTCAATCAAGTCTAAATCAAAAACTGAGAGTCACACAAACAAAGCGGTTAATTTATTGTACCTATTTCTCCTTGTTCGTCATGATACAGGCACCTTATCTTCAAAGGGATGTGGCCAACAATCTAAGCAAACCCCACCAATCCACACCTATTATTTTACTATTGATATTGAAGCTGCCCACATTCTGAATAGTTTGGGTCAACATGGGCCAAACTAGTTGTAGCTCAAGGTAACACCATAACATGAGCTCTCATGATTATAAGTGTATTAATTACTCAACTTCATGAAATCAAGTACCTTATTCTATCAATAAACAAGCTAAAGTCATTTCATAAAGATAAAACTTTTTATCTTCTATTGCATTTTTTTTTTAAGTACTTACATGCTGACCACTTTATTCTTTTAGTGATGAAAATATTGATACTTGACATGTAACTCATGCTTGCTAGCTTATAAATAAGTTTCAACAATGGCCTCTTGTTTCATTTGTGACATTTGATTAAAAAAAAACAAAGATGTGTGACACTGGATGACCATTAAGAAGAACCAAATCAAAGACTATTTGATGGACACAATTTTTTTTTTTGGGGTGTATATAAAGAATGGCAACACAGTTGAATTTTATTAACTAAGCCAACGCATGGCTATTCTTTTCTAATATGTAGAATAGAAGTAGATTGTAGATTGTTCCTGCTCTACCCGTAAGAGCACTAGGACCATTGGCAAGGATCAAAGCGAAACTTTTATCTTCACAATTCAATTTTATAAACTAAACGGACTCATTCTATGTCTTCTTTTTTTTTTTTTTTTGGATGGGTAAATAATAAGGGAAGTTAATTTTGAATTAACGTGAAAAGAAGTCCTACATTAAATTTTCGTATTAAAGAAAAGCTGCGTGTAAAAAGGATTCATAAACTCGAAGAGGGATCTACATTCTAGCAACGTAGGGGGCCAAAAATTTAAAAAAAAAAAAAACTACATAAAGTTAGGGGGTTAAAAGCAATTTTTTTAACTAACAGGCATCGGTCTAATGGAAGGAGCTATGACCACTTAAATATAAGATCTTAAGTTTAAATTTGTGTGTTTTTTTTATAAACAAATTTGTGTGAATACAAAAGACACTTTTTAAAGAGCTATCATTAACCGGGCTCGACAATGTTTGAATTTGACTCCCAATTAGATTGTTACATAAAAAATATTCAATTTGGTAAGCAATTCTATTGTCCCTCATGTATTTGCTATTGGTAGACTTAATATTTCAAAATTTAAGTGACAACGTGATGTTAAGTTTTTTTTTTGGTAGCTACCCGGTTCACCGAAGCTTTGCCTTGACTACATCCGGATCCGACCCGCGTCGCGCACCTGGCATGGTGGGTGAGTCTCCTAGTAAGAATTTTTTGCATATACAAGACTCGAACTCGAGACCTTGTTTAAGCGGAACCGAACTGCTTATCACTCAGACCAACTCTTGTTGGTAATGTGATGTTAAATTCACGAGTCTACTTCCTTCCTAAGCTGAATGAAGCAAAAGGCCATTTAGAAAGATCACATTCAAAGACTATAATCTTAGCCCACATCCTTTGTGACTCAGTTTATAATGAGACCTTGTCTTTGCACAAATTTCCTTCCAAAGATACAAACACTCTGAAAAGCCAACATGACTTGATCTTCACAATTCAATTTTGTATACTGAATATGGGCTCATAGTGTAGCTACTCTATGAATTTAGATTCTGTAAATAATTTAAATTCACTCACTTAATAAATGTCACAATTGTAATTATTAAATTCTAGAATATTATCAAAATACCTATAGTATTTAAAAATATTATTAAGATACATTTGCCTCAAAAAATTTAAAACAACACTCACAATTATTTCTCATGTATATTGTCCCATTCAAAAATTTGAGATTCAGTACTTACTAAGTAAAATAAAATTTTTGATAACTGTTTGTTATTATATCATATGAGATATTTATTAAGTGAGTGAATTTGTGCCACTGACAAGATCCAAGTCAATATCTTTTCTTGATAAATATTAAAAAAATAAATAACTTAAAGAAAAAATGTAAATTTTTTTGTCATAAATGAAAAATATTTATAAACTCAATGTTTTGATATTTTAAGTTAAAATATGATCCACCTCATAAGTTAATGAAGTAAAAAAGGCTTTCTAAGGATCTCATTCCACCAGCCTCATCTAAACATGCCCACATAACGTCCTCTGTGACCCAGTCAATGAGACTTTGTCCCTACAAAAATGTTCTTCTACGGAGATACAAACACTGCATAAACCAACATGACTTGAGGAATCCTCAGTTCTGATCAGTCCCCCTCTTCATTGAACAAACAAACAATAAATATGTAGTTTTCATTGTTTGCTACTTTAAAAGCAACACTTTACCTCTCAGACTGGTAATAATATTCATAAACAAGTTCGGCAGTTTCTTGTTGAATATTCAGCAACTTAACGTCTCATCAATGTTGTACAAATAATATAATTATGTAAACGCCAATATATATGAGTCCGGTCCAACATATGCAATAAGTCTCAATATATAACAGCAGCCTAATTCAATTATTGTCTCTGCCAGATCACATTAATTGATTATTGCTAAACTATCATCATTATGATTGTGTTAATGTCAACTAATCAGTTTCTGTATCATTGAATTAAGATTAATACTTGTCTAACCTCGTGGCGTTTGGTCAGGTTAACTGGTGGTAGAAACTAACTTGTATCATTTGTACATAGTAGACATTGTCACGAGTTGAAATTGTTGTTTCCTCACTTTTCAAGGAGTAGGATGTGACTATTTTTTTTCTTTCCTTTTTGGAAATTCTAATTAATTCTAATAATGTTTTCACTAATTAGAATTTAGAAAGTGAATTAGTTAAAATGCATATAAACCAAATATGTCTTGATTGATGTACAATAACAAAGGATAGGCATTAACAGTCAGTTGTCTTAATAGTAATACTTCCTCCCTCTCTTAGAAGAGATTTTGGATTCAAATCCAATGTTGATGTGCTTGTGTGCGTGTGTATATTTCTCTTTCCTATGAAAAAGGGATAGATTAGAGGTAAAATTTTAGAGGGAAAAATAGAAGATAGGCCTCGCCAGTAGTAGAAATTATCTTCTTGGGCCATTGAGAGCAAAAAATAGAGCTCTCTCAATTAATTTGTTATATACACAATGATTGATATTCAAACTAAATAATAATAATATTATTATATCATACATATGTCTGATGATTAACTAAAATCCCATCTTAATTTTTATATAACCCCTTTTTCGTTTGTAACAATCACCCATTATGTTTGATTTAATGCCATCTAATTATGATGTTTTTATTAGAAATCTAATAATAAACATCTATAAAACTTCAGTTTTGTTTTAAAATTAAAACTGATCTAACCTCACGGTCAAGGATATTAATTCAGTATATGTACAATGAAGTGCATTACCAAAATTTCAAATATGTCTTAACTATATGACATTGCTTTAATTATAAATAATTTTTTCTGGATCTTTAATCCTAACATAAATGAAATGTTTTTACGCTGATGAAAGTGGATCAATATATCAAATGAAAATTTTATACTTATCTAATTCACTAACCGAACAATGTAACTTTTGATCTGAGTGAAATTTAACTTTACATATATAACTGACATAAAATTATTTAATTTTATATTAAAAATAAAACATATATAACACACACATATAAGGAAACATTTTCTCGTAAAACAATACTTTCGATACAAAAAATCAAAATATGTTTTTGAAACAAATATTTGAACTTCAAGTGAAATTTAACCGAACATATATATAATAAATAAGACTTGTATAACTTATTTGTATTATATATATTATTGTCATTAATTTTATTTCTTACTAATTATTGATTCTTGGATATTGATGGATTGAGTTAGGGGTAAAGCAAAAAGGTTGAATTGAAACCCACCAAACAAGGCACTAGGGGATCACAAGAAAGTACCAGGAAAGCAGCAGGCACAAAGAAAATAAGATTAATAATCGAAATATATTTGAAAAGTCAAACATTTCTTGTCACAAAACAAGTTTTGGTTTCCTAAAAGGGATCACAATTCTATGTTCTAACGCATTTGTTTTCTTAGTCTGCTCCTTCATCTTCTCATTTAATTAATTATTTCACACAACAAAGTCCCTACTACCACTATAATTAAGTAATATTAATTACTTACTACAGGTCAATACTTTATTTTTATTTTTATTTTCCTGATAGCCCACCAATAACTGATTGAAATTGAATCTCCCAAGACCAAACCCACCAATAAAATCTGTACTAAATCGCGTCCTTTGCATTTTTATTCCCATAAACCCTATAACTTTCCTCTTTGAACAATTTAATTTCCTTCTTCTTCTTCTTCTTCTTCTTCTTCTTCTTCCCCTCTCTCTCTCTAGATCTGTGTGTGTGTCTGTGATTCTCTGCCATGGAAGATGATGGGATGGCATGCAACACAAGGCTGAGTCTAGGGCTGGGAATAGGAGGTTATGTGATGCCATTAAAGAAGAAGCAGAAGTTAGAAGAAGCCATTAATAATCATCAGAAAGAGTTATTGATCAGTTCGAACACCAGAATCGATGATGAAGAAGATATTGAAAAGAGCGATCATAGGGATAGTTGCAGAAAGAAACTGAGACTCACGAAGGAGCAGTCCGCCATGCTTGAAGATAGCTTTAAGCTTCATCCCTCTCTCAACCCAGTAAGTCTCTCTCTCTCTCTCTCTCTATATATATATATATATATGATTCTGTGTATATATATATGTCTCAACCCATGGTTCATCAGATTGTGAGGATTAAGAACGATTCTTGATGAAGCTATTCAGTAAACCTGCACGATCCTGATGAGATTTCTGTTCATAAGAAATTGATTGGTTCTTGTTAGTTCGTACCTAACCAGATAATGAGGGTAAAAATGGAAACTTAATTAAGGGTTAATTTTGGCTTCTCTTATTCGTCTCCCATGCAGGTCCAGAAACAAGAACTTGCTCAGCGATTGAATCTGAAGCCAAGACAGATCGAAGTTTGGTTTCAAAACAGAAGAGCAAGGTATACACACACACACACATATATATCCATATATATTTGGCATGTTTGATTATCTTATAAAGATCGATATGATAGCTTAAACGCATATTGAGCAACGTTGTCTAAGATCTATATATAGCTTCAATTTTCTAGACCTTTTCAATATATATACCTTCAATAATTCCTGGTCCAAATCAACACGTATAATTCATCATATAGAGGATATGACATTTAAGATGTAAAATTAACGTGCATGCTCAGATATATTTCATACATATACCAGAGATAGAATTGATTATGATTTTAATTTTCTGTGTCTGTGAAGGAAAAAGTTGAAGCAAACGGAAGCAGACTGTGAGTTGCTGAGAAAATGGTGCGAAAATCTGAGAAACGAGAACAGAAGGTTGAAGAAAGAAGTGGAGGAACTACGTGCCATGAAAGTTGAAGCAACTAACAGTAGCAGTAGTAGTGGTATTGAACTGATCTCTAGAGCAGCTACGCTGGCTCTGTGTTCCTCTTGTGAGAAACCATTAATCAAATAAAGGGCATTGATGAATGATCTTCAAGAAGAAGGAGAAGAAGGAGAAGAAGAAGAAGAAGAAGACTGACACATCAGGATAGAAGCATTATAGTAATTCTGCTGAACTTAGTGGTCCCAAGAACTGCACAGTAAAGTGGGGTTAGAGATAGAGCCATAGAGGGGGGAATAGTGCCAACCCATGATAAAGATAGGGATGCTAATTAGTACAACTTTTTTTATTTATTGGATTTGATACATATAGCAAATATAAATATAATTTTAAATCATCAACATTGTTCGCGTTTTGCGCGCGCGCACAAAGTACAAACTAGAAATTGATATAGCAGGCTCCAAATAAATTTACATGTTAGTATATGTCAATATGCAAGCTGTGGCTGTAGTTAATTATTTACTTTTGTTTTGGTCTTTTGCCTTACAGATCCGTGGGGACAAGGAATTATTATGAATTAGTTAGTATCTTCTTTCTTTCTTTTTTTTTAATTGCTCACGGTCAACTTCTTATTAAACAATTATTTTAAAGGTAGAGTTGAGCATTAAATGTGAATATATTTTTTTAAATGTAATTTAAATTTTGATTTATTATGTTGTGAAAAACTAGTCTCTTTTATCAAACTCAATCCTTGTTGGTTTCAATGTCCACCTTGCTATCTAGCCACCCACTAGTGTATATAACTATATATAATGGGAAAATTTCGGTGAGCCTTCTTTGATCCAACATAATTTCAATCAACTCCTCAAAATTTTGAAATTTCACTCACATTTACTGCTAAAAAATAATTTATATATAGCGCCCTCTATATAACGGTTATTTAAATAACTATCATATAGAAAAGGCAGGATTTATATAACGGTTATATACAATAACCACTATATAGTCTTTGGATTTACATAGCGCTTAAAAGGATACCTACTATATAGTCTCTATATGTTTTTCACAATAACTATTAAAAAGCTTAATATTTTATTAAGTTTTTTAATGAGAGATTATTTAGCGGTTGTTTAAAAATAACTGCTAAATAGAAATAACCGTTGAACAATCTCATTTAAAACCCCTTGGATTCCAAAATCTTCATAGATGTTAACGATTTTGAATCTTCAAACTATCTCTTCCTCCCGCAAACCTCTCCTATTCCCTATGAAATCACTTGTATTGCTCTTGAAAATTGATTTCTAGCTAAGCCTAGCCTTCCCCCTCCGTCAAAGAGACTTCCACCACCGTTGCCCTCCTCCACTGTGGATTTTTGTGTTGATTTTCTAGGGTTTTATCGTCTTCCTCTCATCGTGTTTGTCCTCTATCGTCTTCTCTCTTCTTCAATATTTGATAATAAGATTAGTGATTTTTATCCCTAATATCTATCCCTCATCATTTTTATTCTATTTTGATTCGTTCTTTGAATATATATATATATATATATATAGTGTATATATGACTGTGTTCTTCCATTGCTATGCTCCTTTGTTTCTCTATTTATTTTTTTGGATAATAATGATATATTTAATAATTTGACCTTAGGTTTATTAAATTTTCTCTATTTATATGTTGAATCCACTTACTTTTCACAATGCTTGGTTAGATGCATATGTTGTGTAATAGTGTTAATATATGTGATAGAATGAATTGCTTTGAAAATGATACTATGATATTGCTTTGTATTTGTTTTGGAAAATAGGGCCTTATTATATGTGAGAAATTTCATTTTTGTGCTATTATGCTATTGATTTTTTTGTCAAAATTAGGGTTAAGGTACAATTTTGCTTCTAAACTATTCTCAAAGAAGCAATATTATCCCTAAACTACTTATCATAGCAATGTTGCCCCTGCCGTTTAAATGTCTGTTAATTGTAGTTAGTAGGACTCACTTTTTATGAGTTAATGTACAATTTTGTTTCTAAACTATTCTCAAAGGAGCAATGTCCCTCCTAAACTAATTAAATTTAAGCAATGCTGCCCTCACAGTTGAAAAATCATAAAATTATGTTAACTAAAGTGAGATAACAAAAAGTACTTTTTGTACTAGTACCATTCCATTCACATCATTTCTAACTTTGAATATTCATGTGAAATGATATTCTCCATCAATATTTTAACGAGTCATGAACTATACATTAAGAAGAAACTCAATTTTATACTAATTTTCGTTAATGACAAATATGACAATAGTTGAAATATAAATTTACATTGACAACACTATAAGAGGAGCTTTTAATCCAACAAAAACCATATAAACAACATTTCTGAGGTAAAAAAGTTGCTTATTATCATCTTGAGTAGATTAGCTTACAAAATTGACTATTATAAATAAATATACTCTCTCATATGCATTATAAATAAAAAAAAGGTCTATGTATAGACCATCATAAAGTAGTTACCTAAAAACCAATTTAGCAACTGGAATACGGCAGTCTAGTTGAAATCCTGACCTGATTTAATATTGACTAGAATGAGGTAATGAAAAGTGGGTCTCACTAGCTACAATTAATTGACATTTATGATTTTTAAATGACAAAGGCAACATTCTCATTTGATAATACTTTATGGGCAAAATTACATCTTAACTCATAAAAAGTGTATCTCATTAGCTATAATAACGGACATTTAAATGGTGGGGGCAACATTGCTCTGATTTAATTAGTTTAGGATAACATTACTACTAGAGTCAGTAATTTAGGTCAAGTTTGACGGGCTAGCTTAAAAAAGGTTAGAGTCAGGCTTGCTTATATGAACTTTTTTAAAAGGATATGATATACTTTAAGCTTAATTCAAATAAGCCCGACCTAAATTAAGCCTGACCTGAATAAGCTCAATTGCGAAAATTTCCAGCTCTACATGTAGATAGAGTTGGTAATTTTGGCTAAGCTTGATCGGCTAGCTCAAACCTTACCAAAAAATGTTAGGGCTAGATTTGGCTATATGAATTTTTTTAAGAGAGTATGATACTTTAAGTCTAATCTGAATAAGCCTGACCTGAAAAAAGCTTGACTCGAATAAGCCCAACTCGCTTGAATTATATTTTTTTAAAAATAGTATAAAGAAAAGGCATAAGGCTAAGGGTATAACATTTTTAAGTTGTTATGCTGCTAACATTTTTTCAAGTGTAATGAAACATGACTACAATCATGTTTAATGTAATAGAGTTGATTTTATAATTGGAGAGGGATAATATGTGACAGCATATGACTCAAGCATTGTTTTTTCTTACTTTAATTATTCTAATTGGCATTAAGTCACTTATTACATTTCCTTTCTAAATGATTAACACTAGATTAACATTATCAACAAGCGAGGGATGTCTGCCAGACATACATCTCAAGAATACCGAAATGTGGTTCAAGAATTCATTAAGTTTGTAAGAGAGCATGCTAGAGACTTGAAAAGAGTTATTTATCCTTGTTTAAAGTGTAATTCTTTGAGGCATGCTACTCCACAAAAACTTGAAGACCACTTAGTGAAATTTGAAATCGATCAGAGTTATAACTTATAAGTGTTGGACACTATATGGGGAGACACCTAATGAGGTTAATTGTGGTCAGAGCCATAGAGAAAGTTGTCATTCTCTTAATTCAAACATAAGTGCATATGCAATCGACAATCTTGAAGAGTTGGAAGAGGCGATGGAAGAGGCACTAAAAAATTTTCCAAAAATGTTGAAGAGGTTAGAGAGTGATGCAGAGACATCTTCATATAAGTGTTGTGAATGCACAATATTATCTGCAATATTGAGATTCTATAACTTGAAAGCAAAACATGGGTGGAATGATACAAGTTTCACGAAAAATATTTCTATCATAAAAGAAATACTACCAAAGCCCAACAAGTTTCCAAGATAATCATATGAGGCAAAACAAATGTTTTGCTCTGTTGGCCTAAGTTATAAAAAGATATATTTTTACATCAATGATTGTGTTTTGTTTAAGGGAGAATATGAGTCGTTGACCCTTTGCCCTAAGTTCATGGCATCACATTGCAAGAAGAATGAGAAGAGTTCAGAGAAAGAAATGTGGTATTTTTCCATCATATCAAGATTCATACACTTATATAGCATACTCAAATATTTAGGGGTTGTAATGAAATTAAAGAGATGATTTAAATGACCTTATTATCCCTGATGAAGCTAAACACATGAACAATTTGTGTAAAAAAATGAATAACTGACGTAGGTGGAATTTACAACTCTCCTTAATAGCATAACACTACTATAAATTTGCAACTCTCATTCTACCTACATGAGTTGTTTATTTTTCATACATCAGTTATTTATTTTTCCCACACGAGTCGTTCATGCACCTAGTTTCATGACGAACAATAAGGTTATTTGAATCATCTCTTTAATTTCATTTCAATTCCTCAAATATGTAGTGAAATTTTAGAGTTTTTGGGGGCATTGACTGAAATTATGTTGGATCAAAGGAGTTGACCAAAATTTTCCCATATTTAATCATCTTTTAAATATTTTTATTCATGTATTATTATATGTACATTAATAATGATCTAGTAAGCTAAAGTACACTTTTAGTTCTATAACTTTATATAAGATTTTAATTTTATTCTTTTATTTTATAAAGTATCTTTTTAGTTTTTAATTCTAATATCGTTAGTTTTAAATAATTATTTTTTATGTTAATCATTGTTATTTTAAAAAAATTATACCTAATATGTCAATATTTAAGTATATTTTATCAATATTTAAAAGTTTAATGTAAAAATTTATTGAGATAAAACTAATAGTGTTAGAGTTAAAGGATTAAAATGACACTTTATAAAGTTAAAAGGTTAAAATAAAATATTATTTAAAATTAAATGACTAAATATATATTTTTAACCTAATTTTATCCAAATATTTGTTGGTGATTTGTCCATTTCAGAAAGTGGGGAAACTAAAAGTTAAGGGGATAGAAAACACGTACACACATATATGAGATGAACTTTTGAGACTAATCATGTTTGTCATCCATGATGTAAGACAATAAAATATGGCATATTCCATCATATCTGATAAAAGTGACCCACAAATCTATCTTTCTGGCATAATATTGCCGTTGATTTGTTTAATTTATCTCAGTAGATTTGTCTAATTAATTAAAATATTTCGGAAATTATTTGGACCTTACAAATATAATGTTGACATAAATAAGGTCTTCGATTGAAAATTTGTGGGATTCATTTATATGTACGAATTGTCCTCGCGTGATATAGGCGTCATTCTATACGGAAAATACAGCTTAAATTATTTTCTCCCAAAAAAAAAGGTCAAAGATTTTAAATTAATTTATGAAGCACTTTTCTTCCGTGTTGATCAAACAATTATGGGTGTAGTATTAATTAAATTTTTTGGGTCTTGAAATAATTAAAATTAAATTTTCTGCAAAAGATGTGATTATTGTTTATGACCATCATCTCTCAAGACTCAACAATTAATTTTATCATTATAAAGAAATCTAAAATATGTGCTTCGAGATTTAATTAGTTGATTTAGATTTTAATTTTGAA